TTGAAGGTTAAAGGAATCTTTTTATATATGTGTTATTTTCTAAAGCAGGGAAAACTGGAGAGCTTGACATTCTGGTTTGTGGAAATAATGTGGGAACGCATTCCCGACTTTGGTGTATTTTTCAGAAAAGAAGAAAAGAAAGGCTTCGTGGAATCCGTCAGCAATTGCAGGAAAGGAAGCCATTCCATTGGTTGGGTCCTCAGGCAGACAAAAAGCTTCATCTTCATTTCCTAAGTTTTGTTCTCTTTTTCCAGCTGGGAAATGTATGGCATTTTTCCACAAACAGTTAATAATTCGATTCTTCAATAATACAATTTTATTGCTGTGTGTGACTGTGAGAACGGATAAAAACACACTGTATATGCAGAGCCTCGAGTGCGGCTTTTTTCCTTTGCGTTGGACGATTCCTTTTCGACGTATACAATAAAACAGATTTCTGTTGTTTAAAATTTCGTTAAAGTTTAGAAGACATTGTCAAATCCTCCCTCATCAAAGAATTCTTTTCTATTTCACATAGCAAAAAATTCATAAAATAAAATATAGTAACCATCAACAAGACAGTAATTAACCATTTTTTAACGAGTGGAATTTTGGTAGGACTTGCATTATCCGATTAACGGGAAATTCTACTGTGCCGCTACTGCACTAATGCCGCCTAGTTTTGACCGGGTATAGCCGGTTTTGTTTTTTTATCCACCCGTATAGCAAGTTTTTGGATTTACGGGAAAAAAGTCTTCTTGTCATTTTTTTTTTGTGGTAAACTTATGTGCTTTAGTTCTTATTATAAATATTTTTTTGAAATCCTCTTTATATTGAATAGTGTAATTTGGCTGGTTTGTCAAAAGTCCTATAAGCAATTAGCTATTGGTCTTATGGTATATTTTTCTTTCTTACCTTCAAATTGATGAATTATTAAAATATAAAACTAATTATTAGTGCATGTATATCAACGTCGTCAACCAAGTTCAGTACGTTGGTCTGGTCGAGCAAACGGGTTGGGAGTTAATGGTCCGATCATTTTAGTCCGGTTTAGTTCGGATATATGAAAAAATCATTATATTGTTCATACATTTATAAAATATATAAAATCTCATCTAACATATGAGTAATAACATATAACATTAAAATTCAGAAGTATTTTATACTAGGTTAATGAATAATTTGGCACTCTAATATAAAGTTTGTTATGAAGTTTGTATTTATAGTTTGGGATTCATAGCATGTTTGGTCACGTCAACTATTTTATTTATGCTTATTGTTAGAAAATTTTAATTTCATCAATGATGATAGGATTTATGCTTTTATTTCACCACTCCTCACTGTTCGTCCAATTTTATTTTATGCTTACTGTTCGTCCAATTTTATATCTTTGTTCTATGTGACACTCAACTCTAACATTTGACCATTAAATAGTGACTTGTCAATTAAAATAATAATGAAAGAAGATTAGTTATATTTAATTTGTCACATATTGGTTCAAATGTCATCCACATCAATGATATGTAACCGATTATGAATCTTACTTGACACTCAATGTGCAATACAAAGGAATTGTACTAACGGAGTGGACACGTGCAAAAATGAAAATTTTCATATGATAAAATTGAAGATGCAGGTTACGTAAGAAAATAAAAACAATAATATATCCATTTTTCCTTCTTTTGAGAAAGCGTACACTATTTTGTACAACCCATAGTAGCAAAGTCCTGATTTTTCAAAATATTTTTAAAATTTATAAATAATACACAATTTGTGTATAATGCCGTTTAAGATATATACACGTATCACCAATTAGTTTTTAGATTAATAATAAGTTTACCAACTAGCCAAATTACACTATTCAATTATAAGAAGAAATATAAAGCAGATGGTAAGTTTAAAAAAATAAATGACAAGAAGACCTTTTCCCCGTAAACCCAAAAACTTGCTATATACGAATTCATAAAAAAAAAAAAAACTTGCTATACCATGGATAAAAAAACAAAAACCTGCTATACCCGGTCAAAACTAGGCGGCATTAGTGCCGTAGCTGCACGGTAGAATTCCCCCCGATTAACAAATGGGTTTGTACTTGTAATCACGGTGAATCTCTCCAACAACTAGTGCTGCTTTCTTCGTTTTTTTTTTTTTTTACATAAACAGTAAACACATACTTTTTTAAAATATTTTTGTTTAAAGTTTATACTTTATAAGACATTGTCAAATCCTCCCTCTTCAAAGAATTCTTTTCTATTTCACATATATACAACCTAGTAACCATCAACAAAACAATAATCTAATTTTATTAATAAATTTATGTCCAAACTCGACACCGTTTGAACTGATAGCGAACATTTTTTTTCCTCATCGATATTATTCGGTGGAATTTGATAATTTTTTGACCAAGAGAAAAAATGGTCTTTTTTACTTAAGAAAAGGGCAGGGTGTAACATTTCTATCCCGTTGGAAGGACGTTGGGCCCAGGAGCTTAATTAATTAATTTGTCTCTCAACCGATCTGATTTGCGCCAGCTGCTTGCTTTCAATGGCCAGCTGCTTGCTTTCAATCATGGACGAGGCAATTAGCAGCTGCTTGCTTTCAATGGCCAGCTGCTTGCTTTCACTCTTCTCTTTCCTTCGAAATTGTGAATTGGAAATAAGGATTCAGTTTGAGAGTCTGACGTTTTTGGTTTATTTCAAATTTTTAATTAAATTTAACGGTTGAATGGCAAAAACCGGACGATCGGCTCGAGTGGTTAACCGTCTCAGCCGCTCCTCAACTGCTACATAAAATCGAAGCGGCTTTTAGACTATTCCGAGCCGATTTTGTGATCGAGTGGCGGTTTTACTGGTCGGGGCGAACAGCTCGGCTCGGCTTTAATAACACTGGGAATTTTGGTAGGGCTCTATTGATCATATATAGCTATTGGATTATCTGGCATAAGCTGAATTAACAATGGGTTTGTAACGAGTAGGGCTGGAAGTTTGGTACCGCTATTTGGGATATACTGAATACCGTACCGAATTTGTCTATATTTGGTATTACCGAATACACGTATTATTTTGTGTGATTGGGATTGGGATTGAATTTCAATTGTTATTCGGCATTAGGGATTACAGGATTGGGATCGGTATATACCGAAATACCGATCAATACCGAAATATAAGCTAGTGTGTATTTTATCCTCTAAACTATACTCTCTCATTCACTACTACGCGACCCTCAACCAGCAAAAGTGTCATCTAATTATACATAGATCATTACACAACTATTTCACACTAGCATTAGTCGTCTCTCAATCTCAAATTCGTCAAATTAAAGATTACCAATTACAAGAACTTGACATGTTAGCTATAGGCAACTCAAAACTATTTGTTTAGTCTCTTTGTTCTAATTTAAACAATAAAATCTAATTAAATTATTAATTGCAAAGCTAATTAATTATGTATTCGATAATACTGATTGAGATACCGAGGTACCGATTGGAAAACCGAAATTATTTATGGATTGGGATTGATTTTAGAATGTAATTCGATATTCAGGATTTTGGTATTTAGTATTGAGATACCGATACCGTACCAATTTCCACCCCTAATAACGAGGGTGAACTGTGAAGTAAGGATTTTGCAATTCGAGGGTCGGAAGTTTCTTTTTCATTTATTAAATAATAATAACATAACAAACTAAAACCACCCAATAGCGTCTAAATTGAAAGTTCATTTATTAGATAAATCTTTTAATGTAAACAAATAAAACACACATGACACATGAACTTTTCAATACACGACCAAAGCTAGGATTCATTTAAGGAAGTCACCACAGAACTTATCATAAGATGTTCTTATATTATGAAAATATATTGATCACACAAAATAATAGAACACCACTCTTAATTATTTCCTACGAATATACATTGAGTCACACGGCTATATGACTCCTTTGATTCTATATGTTGTTTAGTATAACTCACTGCACAAATAACATTTTTTATTACTTGTTGTAGGGACTAGGTAGGAATTAGACTAATTTCGCATGAACACATTTATGAATATTAACGAAATATATAAAGAAATGAGAAATGTTTGAATTTTTTTTAGGATAAAGTTTAGGGTAAAATACCTTGGGTACCACTTAAGTTTGAGAATTGAGACAGACATACCACTTAAGTTTGAATAGGGCGTCGGGTACCCCAATTAATTGATCACGGAAAAGGTAAAGTCTACCCTACTATACTACATATATTTCCCCATAAATAACATATTTTTTCATGTTCATACAAAGATGATAATTATTATTGTTTGAAAGCAATTCTACGCTAGGGTTTAAAGTATAATTTGAAATTGTATCATAACATTAAATGTACAAATAGTTGTATCATAAGGGAAGTTAAGTATTTATGTTATGGTACAACATGAAGTTATACTTTTAACATTATGGTATAACCTGAGGTCGTACATATATACTTTTGTATAAATCTTTTTATAATAATACAAACTAAAATTGTACATTTATATTATATAAGTTGTACCAGAAATAAAAATAAAAATACCAAAATTCTCGAACAGAAAAATACCAATATTCTAAAACATTGAAAAATTTCTATGGGTTTATATATGTTAAGTAGCTAATTCATGGAATCTTGTGCAATAAATGTAGGAGGATTATGAATCTTAATAAATGACAACAAAATAGAAAAAGGCAATTTTTAAGAATCAGAAAAGATTCCTTTTTTCTTTCTTAAAATCTCTCCCATATGCAGTTTACTTTTCGCATTAACCTTTGAAAACGAGATAACGGCAGAAAAAAGTATCACTTAGTGGATTCCGATTAGAATATCATAATAATAACAATGATATTAATATACGAGAAATCAAGACGTGCAACAAACAATTTTCCATTTCCCCATTTTTCTTTTCTTTTTTCTTTTAGATTTTATTATTCCCCTAATTACGGTGGTAGGAAAAAGAAAAACAGAAATCTAGGTTAATTTTGACCCCGTCACCTCCCCTCTATTTAAACAACCGAACCAACTGAGTTTCTTTTCCACACCAACTCTTCTTCTCTTCCTTTACTTCGTCTTCTCTCACTCTCCGGTCTTCCCTCCAGTTCTCCGGTTAGCCATGGCTTCCCTCAACGATCTCGTCAACCTCAATCTCTCCGACACCACCGAGAAGATCATCGCCGAGTACATCTGGTTCGTTCTAGACTCTCCTCATTCAAGATTTTTATTTTTTCAATCTCCCTCTCTCTTTCGACGATCGCCATCGTCCAGCTGAATAAACCACCATCTGATTGATCCGTCGTCGTTCTTTTTTCCCCAGGGTTGGTGGATCTGGTATGGACCTGAGGAGCAAAGCCAGGGTGAGTTGAATTGTTTTTTTTTTCTATTTCTTTTTTTTTTTCAGCTACGGGGAGATTCGTAACGGCGTTGGTTCCGTTTCTGATTTCACTGGTTTCGGTTCACAGACTCTGCCCAAGCCAGTGACCAAACCGTCTGAGCTACCAAAGTGGAACTACGACGGCAGCTCCACCAACCAAGCTCCCGGCGATGACAGCGAAGTCATCCTCTAGTACGTTCTGCTTCCTCCGCCCTCTCTGTAAACTCCGTTTTTTTTTTTACTTTTTTGGAATTTTAATTTGGGGATTTTTTTTTTGTTTGGTTGATCGGGTTTGACTTTAGTCCACAAGCAATCTTCAAGGATCCCTTCAGAAAGGGAAACAACATCCTGGTAACTCACGATTCTCTCACAACTTCATACCTTCCCCGTGATTTACTCTTTTTAAGTTTCAAGATAATTAGGCAACCTAATTACTTGATTAATAGTTTAATCATAACCAATATATAATTTTGTTGTTATTAATTATAGGTCATGTGCGATACCTATACCCCAGCCGGCGAGCCAATTCCAACAAACAAGAGGGCCGCTGCTGCCAAGATCTTCAGCCACCCCGACGTTGAAGCCGAGGTCCCATGGTAATCAATTTTCTCCATTTTACCCTTGACTACAACCCAATTAGATCGGACTCTGAACACTCCGCAATCGTTGAATCAATGTTGTCACCGCTTTGATCCAACGGTTCCGATTGCCTGTTGAGCAATGATCTCACTAGTAGCCTATGAAAACAATAACAAAATCGTCCTCTCATTATGCGATGAATTATATGCCCATTTGCCAATTTTTTTATTTATTTATGGAAAGCATTGGAGTTTGTGATTGATTGGTAAGCGTGATAGGGGCAGTGCAGTGTCTTTGAAGGTAGGGCCCAGTGGGCTACTGAATGATATTGATTGTGGTGGGCCGTTCGGTGGTGTCTTGTACGATTAGATTAGGCTGATAAGCCCATAGAAAGTCTTGGTGGCATTATCATTGCTGTCCACAAGGAAACAAATTAGTGACCATGATTAGAAAAGTTTGGGTCGCTTTCTGATTTGGAGGGATGGAATTGTCTTATCCGGTGCCGTATTTGCCTTATATTTGATGCTAGTGGTGGGGTTGGCTCTGCCTCGGCGTTTCTTTATATTAAAGGAAGGATTTTTGTCCCTGGGAAGTTTTTTTTTCACGTTTTTAGTAAAATCACGAATTTGGTTATTGAGATGGAATTGGTACTTATTGGAGAGAAAAGCAATTAGATGCATGAACTTATATAGGGTATGCCCTTCATCAATTGGGCAACTTTGGCTTCATTGGGTCCTTTCTCTCCTTTTTTAACTTTTAGTGATAGTGGCTGCTATGGTACGATGTCTTTCATCTTTTGATCTAAAAAAGATAGAAACTAGAAGCCGTTTGGGGCACAGTATTGAATTCTATTCTTCCATTTGGATTGTATTATTGTGATGTCTTTGGTACTTGTTCTGCCCTTATTATTCGATTCCAGCCCTTATTCTTTTATTCTCTCAAGGCCATTAGTGGTTAGTAACTTACTTATAAGTATCATATTCCATTCCAACTTGCCCTCGTCACCTACCACATGCTCATTCTTAACAATTTCTAGGTGGAATTTCTCATCACCTACCTACTACTTCGCCATTTAAAAATAGAAAAAATTCTTCATTTATGTCATAATGACTCCTTTTCCATGTGATGAAAGCATCTTCTGACCAACTTGTATTGCAATTTGATTAATGTGGGTTATGACATAATGTTAGGTACGGGATCGAGCAAGAGTACACCCTTCTGACCAGGAGCAAATGGCCTCTTGGCTGGCCGAAAGACGGGTACCCTGGACCCCAGGTCTTAATTGCTTCTCACCCAAGAAATCCTCTTTCACAAAGTTCGTGTCTTTCTTATTAAAGAAAGTCCATACTCTAAATTTTCGAGTTGTTTTTCGTGTAATAGGGGCCTTACTACTGTGGAATTGGAGCTGACAAGGCATTCGGAAGGGACATCGTTGACTCTCACTACAAGGCTTGCTTGTACGCCGGGATCAACATCAGTGGGATCAACGGCGAGGTCATGCCCGGGCAGGTATACACGCGCTCTTTCTTGGAACGCACGCCTTTCTCTGTTTTATGCATCATCGGTTTCTCAAATGTTTTCATGTCTCTCTCAGTGGGAGTTCCAGGTTGGACCTTCTGTTGGCATTTCTGCTGGTGATGAGGTGTGGGTTGCTCGTTACATCCTCGAGGTAATCTATTTCATATTTGAGTATCTTTGTATCGATTTCCTTGTCATTTGTATTAATAGTTGTGTTTTCTCCCTCCTTTGATGAAACAGAGGATTACTGAAGTCGCTGGAGTAGTTGTCAGCTTTGACCCTAAACCAATTCCTGTATGTGTCCTCGTACCACTTGCATTTTCTTAGCTCTGTTAGTCGCAATGTCGGTTCATCTCGATTAGGTTGTGAACTGACGAGAATGTCATAATTTTTCTTCTTCCAGGGTGACTGGAACGGTGCTGGTGCTCACACTAACTACAGGTTTGTGCGCTAGCTAACTACAGTGGAACTATCTAAATAGTTGTGTTTTTTCTTTTTTGTGCCTGATCTGTTGTCCTTGTCATGGAATGTGTAATGCAGCACCAAGTCGATGAGGGAAGACGGTGGGATTGATGTGATCAAGGCGGCGATCAAGAAGTTGGAAGCCCGCCACAGCGAGCACATCGCTGCTTATGGCGAGGGTAACGAGAGACGATTGACTGGCCACCATGAGACCGCCAACATCAACAAATTCACCTGGGTAAGTCTTAATGCCGCTCCTTTCACCTTCTCCTTCTTCCGAATCACTTTTAATGCTCTACCGGGCTGGCTTATGTTGATTAATGCATTTAATGTCTGGGAATTTGCAGGGTGTGGCTAACAGGGGAGCTTCCGTTCGTATTGGCCGCGACACCGAGAAGGATGGAAAGGGTTACTTCGAGGACAGAAGGCCGGCCTCCAACATGGATCCCTACGTCGTCACATCCATGATCGCCGAGACCACCATTCTGTTGGACCTTTGAAAATAACACTGATGAACTTAAGGAGAAGAGGAAGAGCAGAAAGGGCATGTTTACATTTGGTATATTTGTTTCTAAAATAGACGCATGAAAAACAAACTGCTCTCTGCTACTGATATTTGCTCCTTTGCTGCTCATTCCTCTATGTTGTACGATGATTGTTCTCTATGGTTGGTTGATCATTTTCTGATTTCGAGTCGGGTCGGGTGGTCAGTTTTAGTATCCTGGTTTGGTTTCGTCAGCTGGATTGTTTTCGAGTTGAGTTGTTCTGTTCTGCTTTTCAACAAGCAACCTTTGTCTATTTCTCCAATAATAAGAATCAGCTTGTTTTTCGTTCCTAAACACCTCCATTGTCGACGTCATATTATTCGTGAAATGAATCAACCATAACCTCGCCCCACGTGTCCCTCTCCTTCCTCTATATATGCGTCTGTCTCCTCCCAACCCATCTCTATTTCCGACACTTTAGTTTTTACAATGGCTGGCCGTCGGCATTTCTGTTTACAGTACATACGGCAATTAGTTTGCTCATTTGCAGAAGATGATGCAACGACGTCATGGGCAGAAGTTTTGGAAATTGGAACATCAAGTGAGAGGATAGTAGAGAAGTGGCTTGTTTTTTGGGGAATGACATAAACCATTACCTAAGATCCTCCGAATTTCACTAAAGTGAAGTGAAGTTACCCAACAAAATCGAAAGGTGCAACCGATTTTGTTCAACGCAGGTTTTCTCTCCAGAAAATAACATATCAGTTGGTAGTCCGTGGAACTGGCCTATAAACTATACTATGAAAGAACGACTCAACTAAAAGATGACACTTCCGAAGTAGAGGTCCTCCAATCGAGTCCACTAGCATTCATTGACTAAGTTGATGGATTACAACTTTGACATAGCCTTCGAAGATAATTCAAGAGTGATATTGCAAATGATAAGGCATCCCTAACTGCTAGTAATTCTGCGAGATAAGGGTGAGAGATACCCTGATGTCGAACTAACATGGCCATGAGCACATGCCAGAGGGGCATGGTAGACACCGAGGGGATCGGGTTAGAGGGGCATGGAGTGATAGGAATATATAATTACTTAATTGTTTTTCTGTTAGTTAGTTCCTATTGTTTAGCCACATTCCCACAGCACTACTTCCATTATGTAATGTGCTGCTAGGGTTCTCCTTGTAATCTTGGGTATAAAACCCACACTCCTAATTAATATACAACAAGTCATTACTCCTCTACATGGTATCAGAGCTGCGCTCCGATCTCCTTAATCCCATTCTCTCTTGCTGAACCTCTTATTCTTCTCTCTCGGCCGCCATGTCTCAAAATGATGGTGGGTCAGTTATTAACCTTGACAATTCCAATACCATCATCACCCTCAATCCCGCCACTCAATTCCCAAACAAACTCAATGGCGAAAACTTCCCTACCTGGCGTGCCCAACTCGTGACTCTTCTCCGGGGACTTGACTTGCTCAAGTATCTTGACGGCTCCCATCCTCCCCCTGCCCCGATGCTGAGGCGGCCGTCTGTATTCATTGGTTCCGTCAAGATCAACTTCTCCTCCACTCTATTCTGGCTTCGGTTACACCCAGCGTTGCTCCCTACGTCACGTCTGCTGAGTCCTCCCGCAATGCGTGGCTGATCTACGCCAGTCAGTCATGGCAGCGGGTCATGCATCTGAAAACCAAGCTCGGCCGCGAAACCCAAGGCTCCCGCCCTGTCGCTGTCTATCTGCAGTCTATGCGCACCATGGCGGCTGAACTCGCCTTGGTTCAAGCAACTGTGTCGAATGAAGATCTGATTCTTCATATTCTTCGCGGTCTACGTGAGGAATATGCTCCTCTTTCTGCTGCTCTTCGCGCCCATGACACCACCATTGCTCTTGAAGATCTGCAAGATCGTCTGGTTGATTTTGAAGCCGATTTTGAGGCGCATCGATCCTCTTCTGCCCTAGCTCCTACCACTGTGTTCTCCTCATTTTGTGGTCGTTCTTCCCAGTAGTCTCGTGGCCGCGGCAATTCTGGCAGTCCTCGCCGCTCTCGCCAATTGCAACCTTCCACCTACTCCGACTCTGCGTATCGTGGTCATTCACCTTCCCGTGGGTCTCCTAACCCAGCGCCTTCCTCAGCACCGTCTCTTCTCGGCCGCCCTCACATCCAGTGCCAATTTTGCGACAAGCCGGGCCATACCGCCAAAGAGTGCTACCAGCTCCATGGTCGCCCTCAAGCCCACCATACTGTGACTGCCGGTTCCTCCTCCTCCTCCGGATGGCTTTTTGACTCCGCCGCCACCATCACGTCACCCCTGATCTCGGTGGTCTCTCTCTCTACACAGACTACCATGGCCCCGAAGAGGTTATTGTAGGCAACGGTTCAGGTCAGAAAATTACCCACATTGGTAAATCTAGCCTTCCTACTTCTTCCTCGTCCTTGGCTCTTTCTAATATACTGTGTGTTCCGGCCATTAAACGCCGCTTGTTATCGGTTGCGCAATTGTGCAAATCTAACCCGGTTTCGGTGGAATTCTTCTCTGATTGTTTTGTTGTGAAGGACCTAGCCATGGGGGCGCCTCTGCTACGTGGCCTGAATAATGATGACGTGTATGAGTTGCCAGTGGACTCCCAGTCTCCTGTTCGTCTCGCCTTGACCGCCACATCCACCTCTTTCTCCACTTGGCATCATCGCCTGGGCCATCCCAACACCAAGCTGTTGTCCCGTTTACTCCGTAATCAGTCTCTCCCTGCCTCTGGCTCCTCTTGTTCCTCTTGCGAGTCATGTTCATTGCAAAAGAGTCACAAACTTCCCTTTTCTATTTCGAGTTTGAAAAGTACTCGTCCATTTGATTTGCTGTTTATGGATGTTTGGGGCCCTTCCCCTGTGCTTTCCCTTGATTCTTACTCTTATTACTTGGTCATTGTGGATCATTTTACCCGCTATACATGGCTCTATCCTTTATCCCGTAAATCTGATGTTTGTCATGTTTTTACAACATTCACTACGATGATTACCAATTATTTCCAAACTACAATTCGCTGTGTGTTTAGTGATGGCAGTGGTGAGTTCCATAAGCTTTGTTCTTTTTTTCAAACCACCGGCATTACTCACCTTCTTACCCCGCCTCACACTCCGCAGCATAATGGCCTCGCCGAGAGAAAGCATCGCCATGTCGTGGAAACTGGCCTCTCCCTCCTTCATTCGGCCAAACTTCCTCTCTCCTTCTGGTCTCACGCTTTTCAGACGGCTACCTATCTTATAAATCGCCTGCCATCCTCCTCTCTTCGTGGTGCCACGCCATATTTCTCACTGTTCAACGAATCCCCCAACTATCTCAAACTCCGCTCCTTCGGCTGCCTTTGCTTCCCCTGGCTTCGGCCATACTCTCCTCACAAATTGGCACCTCGTTCCCGTTCCTGTATCTTCCTCGGTTACTCTCTCACTCAGAGTGCTTATAAGTGCTACGATCCTGCCAGTCAACGAATCTTTATTTCTCGCCATGTTCGGTTTGTTGAAGATTCCTTTCCTGGCCTCTCCATTCCCTCGACTCCGTCCCTCTCCTCTACTGATTGGGTGACTCTCGCCACTCCCCCTCTTCAACAGTACGCCCTTCCTCCACCCACATCACCTGCTCCCATCATTCCCACTGCCTCTCCTTCCACCATGGCTTCTCCTCCACGTCTCATCTCATCCGCCGGCGCCCCAACTTCCCCAGTGGCTACGTCCTCTCAGCAGAATGCTCCGCCACCCCCACCGGCTAAGGTTGTGCCTCCGCAATCTCATCCTATTTCCACACGCAGCCAGCATGGGTTCTTCCGGCCGAAGAAGCTCTTCTCGGCTCAGGTATCATATATTGACTTCGAACCTCCTTCTGTTAAGTGGGCCATGGCTGATTCTCGATGGACCGCCGCTATGCTTGACGAGTTCCGAGCATTGCTTTGCAATAATTCATGGACGTTGGTGCCCCGTCCCCTTGACCAACACATTGTGGGTTGTCGATGGGTCTTCCGCATCAAGCGCAACCCAGATGGTCCGGTCGATCGTTTCAAAGCCCGCCTTGTGGCAAAAGGCTTTACTCAACGGCCGGACATCGACTATCATGAGACATACAGTCCGGTTCTGAAGCCGGTTACGATACGGACTGTCTTCACCATTGCCTTGACCCATAACTGGCCGGTTTATCAATTTGATGTCAATAACGCCTTTCTCCAAGGCTCTTTGCAGGAAACTATTTACATGGCTCAGCCTCCTGGCTTCCACGACCCTGCTCACCCCGATCATGTGTGTCGTCTCTCTCGGCCGATATACGGCCTCCGCCAGGCTCCGCGGTCTTGGTACATGGAGCTGTGCACTTTTCTTGAACAAGAAGGCTTCACCAAAACCACCAGTGACGCCTCCTTATTTGTCTACCACAGGAATGGTTGTCTATTATACTTTCTGGTCTATGTTGACGACCTTCTTCTTACGGGCAACAACCCAGCTCTTCTCCAACAGTTCCAGACCCGTTTGGCCGATCGTTTTTCACTCAAGCGCCTTGGGGACGTCCATTACTTCCGTCCCCGACTGGTCTCCTTCTCTCACAGCACAAGTTTATTCTCGACATCCTTGATCGCTTTGGTATGGCATCCAGCAGCCCTGCGCCCACGCCGCTCAGCACACCTCACTCTTAATGACGGTTCTCCTCCTGCTGATCCTACTCTTTTCAAACAAGTGCTTGGCTCACTCCAATATCTCCTCTGCACTCGGCCTGACATCGCGTTTGCCGTCAACAAACTCTTACAATTTATGCATGCACCCACCCAGCTACATTGGCAATCTGTGAAGCGTCTACTTCGCTATCTCAAAGGTACTGCCTCCTTTGGTCTTCGACTGACACCTACTGTTTCTCCGTCGTTGGTTTCCTTCATCAATTCTGATTGGGCGGGCGACCCGGATGATCGTACCTCTACCATGGGCTATCTTATTTATTATGGTGGTAATCTCATTTCCTGGAAATCCAAAAAGCAACGCTCTGTCGCTCGTTCCAGCACTGAGGCTGAATACCGTGCCGTAGCCCATGCCATGGCGGAGCTGCTCTAGGTTCAAAACTTACTCACTGAGCATCATCAGCCGCTGCCCCAACCGCCGGTTCTTCACAGTGATAATCTCGGCGCCGTTCATTTCTCCACCAACCCGGTCTTCCACTCCCGCATGAAGCATTTGGCACTTGATTTTCATTTCGTACGTGAGCTCGTTCACTCTGCCGCTCTCCATGTTTGTCACATACCCACTGCACACCAGCTCGCCGACTCCCTCACAAAGCCCCTACCCATCACACGATTCCAACTTCTCCGTGCCAAGATTGGCGTCGTTTCCTCCTCCATCTTGCGTGGGCGTGATAGGAATATATAATTACTTAATTGTTTTTCTGTTAGTTAGTTCCTATTGTTTAGCCACATTCCCACAGCACTACTTCCATTATGTAACGTGCTGCTAGGGTTCTCCTTGTAATCTTGGGTATAAAACCCACACTCCTAATCAATATACAACAAGTCATTACTCCTCTACATGGAGAAGGGTTTGTTTGTGTATCAGAAAACATCAACTCGGATTATCATGCCTTAGCAACTGTAGTTGAATGAGGCGGAAACCCGTAACAAAACTTCTGAAATGGTAGTCAATGATTTGGTGAGGACCTCAACAAGTTAATAAGGAGTTGGAAGGTAGCACTCGTAATTGTTGTTTGTTGACGCGATCACGAACAAACTGAAATTTTATCTCCATGTGCTGGGGTAGTGAACCACATTCGCGAGATGAGACTTGGGATGCTATAACAAATGGAGCATGCGAAGCGGCGAGCCTAGGATGTTGTCGATATGATGACCCAAAAGGTTAGGGATGTTGACCAGGTCGTGCAGGGTAAGGCCTTATAAGCCACCATAAGTATCCAGGAAGGGTCTAAGAGACCGAGATGTAGTTAACCTTGGTTGATAACACTATTGATTTGGGTTTGATCTGAACTCCTCCATTCAATCTTTTTGTGAGCGAAAGAACCTGTGAGAAGGGGGAGCGGGTGTTCCCCGTGACCTACATTATGACGTCCAAATTAGTACGATATACGAAGTAATAGTGTATCTGAACAGAGAAAGAAAGACTTCAAAAGGGGAAGAAAGGATCCTCTGTCTAGGAGAATTTAGCCATCTTATATATGTGTCTAGGCTTTTCTTAGTAGACTTGGGTTCAAAATGAAATGCAATTGAAAAATGAGTTTATATCTCTTGGCGACATAGCTATTTATCATATTAGACATTTAATGCAATATCTTTACATTAAGAGAAGTAGTTTAATGGAATTTTGAATCACCATATATGAATTTGTATTTTTGGTTGTTTCTTTCTAATTACTTTTCCATGTTCTTATGTGAGAAAATTGAAAATAGTAAATAAGTTTGTGCTTTTCGTGAGAAGCTTGTAGGGTGGCAATACAATTTTAGTTTTGCGGTTAAACTTCTAACCGCACTGAAATCGCACTTTTTGTGGTTAAACACAAACTTAGCAAGAAGGCTTTTATGCGGTCGCATTTAAAGATATTTGATGTTTTACGGTTAGCCTCAACTTCAACCAAATAAGAATTTCAGAGTTCCTTCTAGTTCCACACTGCACATGTTGTCGTCTTCGAAATTCACTTTTCAAAACACAAGAGCTCCCCGCGAGATACCAACGGGCACGAAGACACATAGTGCCTTCATGGACCTCGATCATAGTAGAAAACCATTTACGATGCGGTGTGGTCGTGGGTGACACATATAACTCAATTTCAATTGCGGTTAACCACAAATTTTGGTGTGGTTAACCACAACCGCATCGAATGCCAGACGTGAAAGCTTGGAATAGCAAAGAAGATACCTTATCCACCCGTTATTACCTCATCAATGAGTGAAAATGCCCATTATTGGGTTAATTGCATGGTTGGTAACTGAGATTACAAAAAACGATCATATTTGGTCATTGGAAATATTTAAATCCAATCTTGGTCACTCAAATTAGTAAATTCCAATCTACACACCCCCATACCCTACCCGACCCATCCTCACCACCAGAACACAACCTCCGGCGGCCCTCTTGTTGGCGATGTGCTGGTCCGTACTCCGACCACGAGAGATTCCTAAGCCGACGACCACAAAAAGGAACCACCTCTTCATCCCTTCCAACGAAGCAGTCATACATCAACGTCGACCAGTAAAATCCCAAACTCCACACGATCTCCACTCCTCTTAGCATTAGAGACAAAGTGCTCCCTATGGTTTCCAACACCTTATTCCTCAACTAATTCCCGAGCCACAAAAATGATGAATCAAATCTAACAAAATCCAACTTGCCACTACTACTGGATTCGAGAGCTGGAAATTGGGGAAGTGAAATGAACCTCATAGATCGGAATTACAAGGAACAATTCATTACTGTCTCCGGGGAGTACTTGCGGAAAGGCACGTAGACGCCCCGCTCGAAGTCGAGCTGCTCCATGGCCTTGCTCAATTGCACAGCTCCGTTGGCTTCATTCGCAACCGCCACGCTCCTGCTCCTGCTCGCTCCATTTCCATTTCTAGGACCGGTGGTGGCGGTAGCAGCAGCCGAAGCTCGAAACGTCGGCGACAGCCTGCTCCTCGAAACCACGGAGGAGAGAGCCGGAGTACGGACCAACACATCGCCAACAAGAGGGCCGCCGGAGGTTGTGTTCTAGTGGTGGTGAGGTTGGTTTGGTAGGTTATGAGGTGTGTAGAAAAGAAATTAGGTTTTTTATTTTTTAATGAATGTAATAATGAAGTGAAAAACATAAAAGTTTATTTTTTTAAATTTTTTATAATTTTTTAGTTGCTACTTCACATATTTAACGGTCAATTATAAAAGTTGAGTGCCACGTAACTAGAGTTAAAGAGAAATGGACGGAGAGTGACCAAACTTGAACCATTTTACGAATTTGAGTGACCAACTATGCAATTAACCCGCCCGTTATTATACAACAAAAGAAGCAGGCCCATAATAAGAATAAACCACTCGGCTCAATCGGGTTACTTTGGCCCAACATCTATGCTGATGCAAAACAAAGCCCTTGGACCAGTACGGTCCGCCAATCAGGCAGTCACCCGAAAGCCCAACAGCTGAACTAGAAAAAAGAACTGGAACTAAACTGTAGGAGAAACCTACGAAGCAAAATCGGCAGAAACATCATCAGACGAAGGAAGAAGGGGAGATGGGGTGGTAACCAAACAAATAAAGGAGGAACGGAACGCGACAGGCGGTGTAACACAAATCTTGGTCGCAGTTGCGGCTCGCCCTTCCCTCGCCCCCGATTCCCTCGCACTTTCTCTAGCTTCCTCCCTTCAATTTATGGTCTCCTCTCTCTCTTTTTCCAACTTGTTTCCCATGGAGAAGAACTGAAGCATTCATTCTTTCTGGAAAATTTCCGATCCCGGATAAGGTTTGGGATTGTTCCGTTTTTGTGTTCGGTATTGCTCTCCGTGTGTTCCCTTTCTGTTTGCTTGAACTGGTAGAGGAATGGAAGACCATTGCAATTTGAGTTTTTGGACAAATTTTGATTGCCGAGAAATTTGAACTTGAATTTGATTAGGCTGCTCCGTTTTGGTTTGATTTGATTGCTGTTGATCTTCTCTGTAGCCACAATGTTCTAGTGCGCAACTATGAGGGTGCATTGTTTAATGTAGCTGCAGAGTGGAGTTCCTATAGTCGAATTGTGCGCATTTGTTTTTTTTAGTGCCGGGCTAGAGAGGGGACTGATTTTCTGTGAATGAATAAATACCGGAACACATAGGGAGATGTTTATAAGTACTGATTGGGATTCAAGAATTGGAAAAGAGGGTACTTTTCTGGATTGAGAACAATCGGGTATCCTTGGTTGCAGAAGGGGAGATGGATGATTGCTGGAGAGAGAGAGAGAGAGAGAGAGAGAGAGAGCGAATGAAAGAACACAAGGACATAGGAGCTAGCCTCTATTAGATTTCGAACCAACTCTGCTTATCTGTTCTGCCAGCTTGAATGGCGATTGTGTTTATAAATACCAGCAGCATGCTAGTTAACAAACCGTGTGTGTTGGATGACAAGTTTGTAGTTTACCTCTTTAGGATTCTTAAAAACTTGCCTGTATAAAACATGATTAAGTGTTGTTGTATTTGCAGTCCAGTTCCTCTCTCATCCGTGGCGTGTTGTTTTCTTGTGCTTTTTATGCAGGGGTGGTAGAATATTGGAGTAGGGAGGTGCAATGTATGCAAGGATAATCAAGAGTAGTAATCAGAAGTGGGGTTCAGTCTTCATGCCTTCCATACAGTCAATTAAGACAAACACCATGGATCAGGCTTGTGCTCGATCTCTAGTCCATACAGCCGCAGTGCGAGTATGCAACACCAAAAGAAGTTCATTAAGGAAATATCAGTTTAATTCATTTGCATCATGTGGCAGTGGTAGTTATTTTAGTAGAAGGTTCAGCACATATCCTAAAAGGTTGCAGTTCCGTGCATATAGTTCGGAGGGTGATGGACGCAATACAAGTGAGGATAAGCGTGCGTCTCTAAATGGTGCACCTAATTTTGATGATGGAAAGGTACAGCCTGGGAAATTTGGAGGAAATCCCAGATATTGTGACACACATGCTTGTCTAGGGGAACAAGATCAGAAGGATTGGCTTAGTAATGAGAAGCTGACTGTAGAAGCCAAAAAGAAGGATTCGCCTTTTTTAACTAGGCGTGAGAGGTTTAAAAATGAGTTCTTGCGGAGGGTTGTTCCTTGGGAGAAGATCCATGTCTCTTGGGACACCTTTCCATACTACATCAAGTAATTATTTCTATCTGCCCTCCGTTTTTTATGCTATTGCTGTTCAGGGCGATGACTAACTTCTCACTCTCATCCAGTGAAAATACCAGAAATGTTTTGTTGGAATGTGTCACATCCCACCTAAAGCATAAGAATTTTACTGCATCATATGGGTCTCGTTTGAATTCTTCTAGTGGCAGAATATTGCTCCAGAGCACTCCAGGTTAATTTCTTCCCCATAATGAAGTTTAGTATTGGAGTTCTCTGTCTTTGCAGGTATTGGAACTACTGGAACTGAAGATGAGCTACTGATTTCTTAATGGTATCATGTACAGGCACAGAGCTTTATCGGGAAAGAATAGTGAGAGCACTTGCACAAAAGTTAGAAGTTCCTCTACTGGTTCTTGATAGCAGTGTTCTTGCTCCTTATGTAAGATTCGCAGACAAAATTGTAGTCAGCTATTTATGAAATCATTGTTTTTTCCGATAAGGGTGATATAGGTTTTACTTTTTTGTAATTAAGGTACTACTTAAGGGATTCGAACCTGGGACCTCCAGGTTCTAAGCTAGTGGTATTTATCACATCATTATTGGGTTTATTTTTGGTGATTGTTCTGCTTGTTCTAGAGCAGGATCTTGATGACTGTTCATCTGAGGATGATGCAGCAGAATCAGGGGAGGAGTTAGAGTCTGAGGTCGATGAAGAGAATGAAGCAGCTAATGAAGAGGAATTGACAAGCAACGCTGAAGGAAAATCGGAAGGTAGTGATGATGAAGCAGTTGATGTGGCGGCAACTGCTGAGGCAGCCCTCAGGAAGCTCATCCCTTACAGTTTAGAAGAATTTGAAAAGGTTTTCCCCTTATGTATGCAATTTTTGTTTCTTCTTGTTTTCATAATAACATTACTCCCGGAGGCACCTCAGGATACCTTTAAGTTTGCCAGAGAATTTATTTTTTCTTAAGTTGAATAAATGTCTTTCATGTTCTTGTTCTCTAAAAGCTAGAAGAGCAAAACCTATAACTCTCACATGTTGTAGTCCCCTATTTTGCAATGGGTAAATCCTTCATGGGACATTGGTCATGTTTGGTGTTTGTGGGGATACGGTGAAAAACTGTAAGGTTAGAGCTTGATTAGGTGCTTAACATTATTTTGAAATTATAATTGATGATTTCTTTTTCAAAATCGTCTGTGTTGTGCATCTGTTGATGTTTCAAATGGTGCCCTAATTTTTGCTCCGAGTTCAATTCGTGCAGCGAGTCGCCGGAGAATCAGATGCCTCTCCCGAGGCTTCGAAATCTGATACTGCTGAGCCTGCTGATAACTCCAAAAGGCCTCCCAAGAAAGGTAAGCTCTTATTCGACCTAGTCTAGTCTTCTTCAATGTTGTGCAGAACTTTCTGTTTTAGGATTTCCAAAAGGCCACTAAATGTTGTGGGCTCTGATATCTCTCGTTTCTTCAAAAACAAAATAAAACGTTGGTGTTTATTATTCATCCTATTTTGTGACACTCGTTCTGTCTTTCTCTAGGTGATCGGGTGAAGTACATTGGCAGTTCAAATTCTGTTGAAGTGGACAGCAGGTATTGGATTCATTTTGGGGTTTGGAGTTTTGCTCAAAGAAAGTCAGTAGATGCTTTTTGTTATTGTTGAGAGCCGTCACCGGAAACTTGATTTTGCAAATTTCATGCCAACAGTAACCTTACTAATCATCGTCTGGAACTGTATAAAATATTACAATCCTTGAAAGCTGAAATTAATAGTTGAGTTGGAAATGTAATTACGAGAAGAATAAGCAAATCCTATTTCACCTTTTCTTTAAACCTTAACGTCTTTGGTTTTGTCAGGAAAGTCTAGTTCAGGCCGTGTTTAAGCATGAATCTGCATTTAACTCATCCCCAATGTAAACTTTGACATCCACAGGATCAAATTGGGGAAGATACCTACATCTGATGGTCTGAAAAATGCTTTTACAGTAATTCATGGCAGGTGGGTTGCCAATTCCTCCTGATGTATGTAAGGAGAACAAGCAGTTGTCAGTCTTATTGGCTATAGCGTTCGACATTTGATGTTTTCTTCTTCATTTTATCCTCTTGGATAACATCACATGCTTTGCCACTCAATGTCATTGAGTATTTGGCTGAAGTGCTCTTATCTTTAGTTTGAGTTGCTAGTGTTTCTTTTCATTGTTCCATAAGCTAGTAGTCATCTTTTGTGGATATGAGAGGGAACGTGGATACAGAGTTTTTCTTTGAATGTCTTTGTTGTGACTTTTTTGGAATTTGGAACTCAATTATGAATACTTCTGCACCACCACCTTGAAAATCACATGCTATCTATTTCGAATGGAGGAATTTAAGTTTTAACTTGATGGAAGTTCTTCTCTTCTTCTGATAGCTTTTGCACGAAGACAATGTTGTAGAGGACCTAAGCACACTGTTCATTGTTGTTTCAGGCCCCTATCCAATGGTCAACGTGGTGAGGTTTATGAGGTCAGTGGCAATCAAGTTGCTGTTGTTTGGGATATGTCTAATGATAGCCAAGCAAAGGAAGGAGAGATACATGAGAAGCATGAAGAGCCATCTGGAAAGGCACCAATACATTGGATAAATGGTAAATTTGTGAACGTTTCAAAAGGATTCTGTGTAATTTGAAACAAAAACCTATCATTCTTGGAACTGTATCTCTGATGAAATAAATGGTGCAGATATTTAAGTTAGACTGATTTTAAGATCATGAGATTTATGTATCCATGTTTTTCTTGCATAAAAAAAGTTGTGTTGTCAGATTATCTTTTTCATCCATAATGTTATTTATGAGGGCATGACCTGTCATGACATGATTTCCAGTCAGTATTTTCAGTTTCTCTTTTATGCTTACCGTACTTAGAAGGCCAAACTGATGAAGTTTATTTGCACAGGACCATTAGTCTATTGGGGAATATGATGTGCTATTTTTTTTTTCACCAAAAATATCAAAATTTACTGAGACTTGCTCATGCATAGTTAAGGACATTGAGCATGACCCTGACGCGGAGGCCGGAGATTGTTATCTTGCGTTAGAGGCATTATACGAGGTATATAAAGGAGATCATTCTTGGGACTGTATGAAATATTGTTTGGAGTTTTTGGGTTCAAATTCCCTAGTCTTCAATCTTTTTGTGAGTTGACATTTGCTCTTGAACTCTTTGCAGATCTTGCAGAGCATGCAGCCTCTCATTGTATATTTCCCAGATTTTTCACTGTGGTTGTCTAGGGCCGTACCCAAGGACAATCGCAAAGAGTTTGTCCAGAAGATGCAGGAAATGTTTGACCAGCTTTCTGGTCCTGTTGTCATGATAAGTGGTCAAAACAAAGTTGAAACTGGTTCGAAGGAGAAAGAGAAATTTGTAAGATTTAGTGCTTTTTATGAATATAGATGAATATTGACCTAATTTTGTGAAAGCAGCAGTTTTTCCTTGGTTGGATATTGTTAGCTTACTCTTGTTTTGCTTTTTTATGTGATGGGCAGACAATGATACTTCCAAATTTTGGACGACTGGCTAAGCTGGTAAGCCTCACTAATTTCTCCAGAAGTCCCATGCTCTTGGCTTAACTATTCTATTGTTGCTTTTTATGTCTCTTTAGGTGGAAATTTGTGCAGTTTTCTTGTACTTGATATTTTCATCTATTGCTTTTGCTTTCAGCCTCTTCCTCTGAAGCAACTCACTGAAGGTCTGAGAGGAACTAAGAGATCCAGTTACAGTGAAATTAACAAGCTCTTTACAAATGTTTTGCGTATTGATCCGCCCAAGGTAAGTTATAACTTCCTGATTTGTGTATTTTATTCTGAAATCCAGATATCTTTGTTTTCTTATTGTTCTCATCACACAGAACTGAAGTTATGTAGGGCCATATGGTGTTATATATAAGGGGAAAATTTCTTCTTGGTTTTCTAAGCTTAAGTTGTGGAGTTTACTAGCTGATAGTGGAATTTTGTTTTCTCTTGACAATGGGAATTTCTTGTTACTCATTATCAAATAATCATGCTACATTATTGGAAACCGATTCAGTCGTTAAACAGTAATGCTCCAATGGACACCTTACTGCAGAATCCATAGAAGCTGGATGTAAAGAAGTAATTTAGGAATGTTGGAAGACATGTTCTGTGAAGCTCAGATGATTGCTAAATTTTTTGGGACGATGAGTCTGTGTTTACTTTTTTCCTTCGTCTCCTCAGTCTTTTCACTGTCTGTTTGCCCTTACAGGAAGAAGATATCCTTAGAACGTTCAACAAACAGATTGAAGAGGATAGGAAGATTGTGATATCAAGGAGCAATATAAATGAATTACATAAGGTATTATTTCTTAGATTTCTTCTGTTAGCATTTGATAATCAGTAACTAGAGCCATGAAAATATTATCTTTGGATCTATAATTGCAGGTTCTTGATGAAAATGAGATGTCATGTGCAGACATATTGGATTTAGATAGTGACGGTATTGTTCTGACTAAGCAGAGTAAGTGGCATACTTTAGACAATCCCACTCTGTTCAAATTCTGTTTTCCAAGTGATAGTAGCACAATGGATGATTCATTGTAACTTGGACCTACTTTTTTGACAGAAGCCGAGAAAGTTGTTGGCTGGGCCAAGAATCACCATCTGGCTTCTTGCCTACTTCCATCTGTTGAAGGGGAAAGATTGGTTTTGCCTCGCCAAAGGTGTGCATAATTTATAAGTGAATGCTGATTTTAGGGAAAGTTTACCCTTGCTTACATATTGAAAATCTCCCTTGAAAGCTTATTGGTCCTTTTCTCTCCTTGTGAAGCCTTGAAGTTGCTATCTTGAGGTTGAAAGATCACGAAAGCGTATCAAGAAAGCCATCTCAAAGTTTGAAGGCATGTTTGATTAACTGTCTGTCAATTTGTTGGATGGCTTATGCTCTTGGTTGCGTTCTTCTCTAATTCGTTTAAAATATGACAGAACATGGCAAAGGATGAATATGAAACCAACTTTGTTTCAGCCGTAGTACCACCTGGGGAGATTGGTGTCAGATTTAATGACGTAGGAGCTCTCGAGGATGTGAAGAAGGCCTTGAATGAACTTGTTATTCTCCCAATGAGGAGGCCAGAGCTTTTTTCTCATGGGAATTTGCTGAGGGTATTGAATATTTTATGTTAACGGAATGGATTAAATATTCTTAACGCTTTATCGATTTGATAATTGGTCTAATACATTTTATTCTACAGCCTTGCAAAGGAATATTGCTTTTTGGACCTCCTGGAACTGGGAAGACTCTGCTTGCTAAAGCACTTGCCACAGAAGCTGGGGCAAACTTTATCAGCATAACAGGCTCAACTCTTACATCAAAGGTACGCTGAAGAAACTATATGCTATCATGTAAACATAAGTTGTTAATGCTTGTAAGTTCATTTTACGTTTGCATACATGTAATGTTCTAAAATGATTGATCATTCTTTCCTTATAGACATAAATTAGGGTCTTATTACTCCCTAGTAAGCATGCATTTCAGAATGTGTTACATCTTTACTCTGGTAGCTTTCTCAGCCTCCTTATCCTTGTGATGTAGTGGTTCGGAGATGCTGAGAAGTTGACAAAGGCCCTTTTCTCCTTTGCCAGCAAGCTGGCTCCTGTAATCATATTTGTTGATGAGGTAGGTTCCTAATGACTCTCTCTCTCTCTCTCTCTCTACTCATGGTTTCCCCATCTTTGTCATTTTTGATGGTTGGAATACTGAAAACAATCAATATGCTGAGGGAAAATGAAGAGTATTCCCTATTTACATGTTGATGTCCGCAATTTGCAAAATAAGTTAACTATAAATGCAGCCATTGTATCTATTTCCAATCAACCATAAGTTGGGGGTATCTTCTTGACTTTTGACTTTTTCCAACCTGGGGCGAACATAGGTTGACAGTTTGCTAGGTGCGCGTGGTGGTGCATTTGAGCATGAAGCAACAAGAAGAATGAGAAATGAGTTCATGGCGGCATGGGATGGATTAAGATCCAAAGATAGTCAAAGGATCCTCATTCTCGGTGCTACAAACCGACCATTTGATCTTGACGATGCTGTGATTCGTCGTTTACCTAGGAGGTAAGAATTTTTTAGGAACAACAGTCTTCTGTGTGCAGTGTCAATTGTCACACAGCAATGCTGTTTAATTTGCCAAGACCGTTTCTCTGATGGAGCTTCTTCTGAATCGGCCATTTCAGAATATACGTCGACTTGCCTGATGCTGAGAATCGTATGAAGATCCTGAAAATAATCCTAGGAAACGAGAATTTACAAACGGATTTCCAGTTTGAAGAACTTGCTAATGTAACTGAAGGATACTCTGGGAGCGACTTAAAGGTACACAATTGATGGTTAATGCGAGCCTTTGGACTGTGTAGCTGCAGACAACTATTAACCTTGTCTTCTGCTTCACTTTTGTAGAACCTCTGTATTGCAGCAGCATATCGACCGGTGCAAGAAGTCCTAGAAAAAGAAAACATGGTAACTTGTCTTGTAACTTAACATTTTACTGAAACATGGAATATCTCCTCCTCCTATCAGTTTTTCGGCTTTGAATGCTTGTTCCTTCTTGGTCTCTATCACGCTAACTTGGCCCATAGTACGAGTGGAAACTATACAGTTCAGCTTGCTGCAAACATGACAAGGTTTTTCGTGCTAATCTCTATAGGAACATGACAATGCTCAAGGTCCAGCATTAAGACCGCTCACGTTAGACGATTTCGTTCAGTCAAAGGCTAAGGTAACTGAACAGTTACCCTACTGCAACATTTTCTTACAGCAAAGCGAACCTTGTGTTTGTCAAGTGGTGTTTGATTTAAGTCCTTTTCATCTCTATTGTCAAGTGGTTGTTTGATTGTTCTCCCACCTTGTGGTCTTAACAGGTTGGTCCCTCCGTTGCATTTGATGCCGCGAGCATGAACGAGTTGCGCAAATGGAACGAACAATACGGGGAAGGAGGAAGTCGGCGGAAGTCACCATTTGGTTTTTGAAACTAACGACATGTTATGATGTTTTCCATCAAATTCTTAGGAGAAATCATAGTCTTTCTTTGGAACGAAATAGGGACAAGGAGCCATATTCTTTTCTTTTGTACTAGTCAGTAGCACAGCATAAGGACATGGCTTTGGCAATGCGAGCCCCGTGTACCATGTAACATAACGAAATTTGTGGTATATTTTACGACTTAATAGAACACAAAAACGAGGAGTAATTACTTACTTGCATGTTTGGATTTGACGAAGCAAAATTTGGAACAAGAACCTCCTTGCTGTAGGGACAAATCTCTACACGTTCTTCACATATTGGTGCTTGTTGTTTGGGCCGACCTGGGGAAATGTATGCAAGAATGGGCCGGGCCGGAGCCGAAGCCGGGCTGTAAAAACAGGTCCAGAGTCTTGGATTAACCTTCTTTAGTGTTGTGGGAATTTGCTTTTCTAACTTTAGTTCAACCCATTTTACTTCCCGCGAGGAAGATGTTGTCGTTTCTCTCCCGTTGCGCCTCCTGTAAACCCGCCGTCGGCGGCGGTCTCCTCCGTCAGGCGGTGAGCTCCTCCATCTTTCTGCTCGACGGCTCGTCCGTCGGCGCATCGTCGACAAGGATGAAGCATGAATTCTCTCTCTCTCTCTCTCACTCTCTCTCTCTCTCTCTCTCTCTCTCTCTCTATTTATAATGGGGTGAAGCATGAATTCTCGAATCCTCAGCTCCTGCGCCACTTCTCGCATTTCTCTCGTCTTGCTTCTGGTTCCGACTTCCAGCGGGAAATTGCGAGACCGGGCTGCCTGAATTTGAGGGTCGTGGAGAGGATCTCGACGCTATCGAACCACGAAAATCTAGGCAATGGAGAGGAGCCTTTGAAGGGGGAGGTTTCGTGGATTGATCTCTACTTGTCGCAATATGTACGGCCTTACGGCAAGCTCCCGCCCTGGATAGGCCGATAGGGACTTGGCTACTCGCTTAGCCTTGTATCTGGTATGAGCTCTTTCATTCTGTGTTCAGTTCGTCCCTTCCTGGTAGCTTGGTGGGAGAGACCACATTAGAAATTGTAGGCGTTCTAGTGGGTTTTCAACTGCCTGCTTGAATTTGAATCAAGTAAGCCGATTGCGTTTGTTGTTGGTTCAGGTCAATTTCGATGACTTCTCAGCCTGGAAATCTACCAGATTTAAAGACGATGTGATAGAACCTGGTTTTAGGATTCTATCGATCGAATGGTGGAATTGGGATTTAGGGTTTAAAGAACAGAATTAGGGATTGATATTGGAATTAGGAGAGGAAGAACTAAATAAAAAATAGGCCGAAGCTTTGGACTAGGGAAGAAGAGAAATTAGGAGATACGGAGAACTTAGGGTTTGGGAAGATAATTCTTTTACTGATTTATGCCTAATCGAACAGAAGACCTAAAGTACATATTTATAGCTAAAGACAGGAAAAACCTAATAGACTATCCTAATATGATTCAAAGACTACTAACCATATCTAATAATATCCTAATAATGTTAATATTGATAATTATGATTAAACCTAAAAAGTAGGTTTCTATCATCCCCTCCCCCTTGAGACCAACCTTGCCCTCAAGGTTGACCAACTCGACCCACTTCTTCACATCGTTCGTGCAACCCACGCATTTACTCATCCACTTCTTGCGCTTCCTTTTCTTCCAATCGTGCTCCAATTCTTCACTTGGGCCTCTTGCACCGATCTTCTTGTGTTGGTCCAACTCTTCGAACTTCACTCCCATGGCCCCACTATTTGCTTCTGTCTTGTACAAGAATTCCTCCTAGAGTATCAATCCCTCAAAGACTTCAAACACCATGCCGATGGACCATACATGTCTAATCCTGTTAAGAGTTCGAAAATATGGACTAGAGTTGATCTTCCTTGATGCTAGCCCATCAACTTCTTTAGTTGTCTCTTGAATTGCTCCTGGCCCATACTTCTTTGAGACTCCACCACTTAAGCCCACTAGTTCATCTCCCTTTCCTTTCAAGCCCACTCCATACAGAAGAGCCCAAGAAAGACAACTCATGTATGGTCCGAGAATTGGGCCTTGTGACCCCAAACCTTGCTTGGTCCTTGGCCCGCCTCGCTGACTTCCCTAGCCCAGAGCAAGCCCATCGAAACTCTGCTCACAAGTCATACGACCTTGAAGGTCTGTTCTCGATCTGCACTGCTTATCATCCCTCTCCACACTTCTTCTTGACTTCTTCAGACTCGCGGCCCATTTGTCACGGTCCACTTTCAACTGTCCTGACCCGCGCCGACCCAAATCCTCCGGCCCAAAGACCACAATTGTTGTTGTTGCTGTGCGGCGCCCATCAAAGCGCGCCGGCTAGGGTTTCTAAGAGGAGTGACGTTGTCCTCTTCCCCTTCCTTTTCCGGCGGCTCCTTTGGCGGCGAAGAGCTTCCGCGACGGCCAGTCGAGCCTCCTGTCGTCGCCGACCTGCCCATCGGCTCCCCAAGTGGAGCACCCTAAGGCTGGGAAACGGTGCGGTCTGGTCTAGACCATACCATATATATGGTTTATGGTCCAGACCGAGAGGCTAAAGTATAGACCACAGACCAGACCACATACTATACGGTCTGGTCCAGACCACCCCTGTGCAGTCTGGTTCGGTCTGGTCTGGTCCAGATAGACCACACAAAAAATTGAACCAACCAAGAAAAATAATTGTTATTTGCCTTAAAACATTAATCCTAACATGCATGCATAAATTTGATACTCTAAATCCTAGTACATAACAAAGATACAAAGTAAAAGCATCATAACTTGCACCATAACGTCGTAAACATTAACATAATGCCATATGGAGACACAATTATCTCTACTCTCTGGTTAAATGTGGTTGTGAATGAAAGAGGGACGAGATCAAAACTAAGGTTGAGACTTGGTGTCGCTGTGGGAGTTGGGAGAGTGGTCGAATGGGCTGTTAACACGTATTGACAAGTCAGTTGGGTCCACGGTTTGGTCCTGTAAACCGCGGTCTAGACCAGACCAGACCAAGAGATCAAAACATAAAATAATACAGACCACGGACCAGACCAGACCATACTTAACGGTCTACGGTCCAGACCAAACTGTGCGGTACGGTTTAGACCATGGTTTTTCTAACGGGCTGGTCTATTTTTCCATCTCTAGAGCACCCCACGTGCGAGCCGCCATCGAGGATCCCTGACGGTGCTTCCCTCTCTCTTTCTTCTCCTCTAGCGACGAGCTCTCCGGCGGTTTAGTTATCATCTCCGTTCAGTCAGCGAGCCATCCACCCGACGACCAGGTTATCGTCGCACTCCTCGCCCGTTTCCCGATCTGGACGATTCCACTTCGTGGCCTAGCATCCCCTTTCCGCGTTGTCCATTCCACGCCGACCTCTCTCTTCCGACGCCATCTTCCATCATTGTTGACTTCTCCCTATGACATTGTTGCTTGATATCAAGGCTCCCTCGTGGCCTTTGGTTCCTCTTCCTAAATTTCCAGTTCTCCTTGCCATTTTCCATCATCAGCAGCGATTCGGACTCACCGAAATTTACCTGCAATGCCTCACACAATTTCAGATCCGGTGAGGTCTCCTAAGCGCACGATTTGTCAATCCCAGTCGAGGAAATTGCGACCCTTGAGGATGCCGCAATGTTGGTGGGTGTTGCTGATGAGACGACGTGGTCAGTTGTTGCGGAAATGGTCGGAAGTAGCTGCTGCTCGTCCTTGTTAGCGGTATCCGGATCTCCTTTCTCGACAATATCTCGGAGAAATACGACGGAGATGTTAGCCGCTGCCGGTGGTGGTTGCTGAGTCGCCTTAGCCTCCTTGGGTGGCTCCTCGCCCGCGGTCAAGGACTGCTCTTCCGCTACGTCGTTGTCTGCAGCAGCTAGTTGAGGAGCTGCTCCAATTGCACCGATTTCCACTGCGACAAGAGCGAACTCCGCAACAGCAGGAGCGTCTTCGACGGTGGCTAGTGCTGATGAATCCCTTGCCGTCGATTCTAAATGGCTGCGAGTCGCGCGGCGGTGGGTCGCGCGACGCTCGAGCTTGGCTAGAATTTCTTCCAGACATGTCATCATATTGTTGTTGTGAGCTTCCCTGCTAGCTTCATATTTTGCCAGGCTGATTTAGAGAGCTTCAAACGCGTGATAGAGTTTCTGATAACAATTCCATGGCGAGAGTTGTGATGAACTCAAATCTATGACCATGGCTCTGATACCAAATGATAGAACCTGGTTTTAGGATTCTATCAATCGAATGATGGAATTGGGATTTAGGGATTAAAGAACGGAATTAGGGATTGAGATTGGAATTAGGAGAGGAAGAACAGAATAAAGAATCGGCCGAAGCCTTGGACTAGGGAAGAAGAGAAATTAGGAGATAGGGAGAACTTAGGGTTTGGGAAGATAATTCTATCTTTTACTGATTTCTACCTAATCGAACAGAAGACCTAAAGTACATATTTATAGCTAAAGACAGGAAAAACCTAATAGACTATCCTAATATGACTCAAAGACTACTAACCATATCTAATAATATCATAATAATGTTAATATTGATAATTATGATTAAACCTAAAAAGTAGGTTTCTATAACGATGGCTCTGTTTGGCAGTGGGGCGTTGCTTTTACGAGGAGCTGGTTGCACCGTTTATGACCTCTCGATAGAGATATGTTGGAAATAAAATATTATTTCTCTTATTAATCAAAACTATTGGTGGGGTTTTTGGTGGGCACGTGTTGTTTGGGAAGGGAAGGCTTTTGTAATTTTAATTTGGAGAATGGGACAAGGAACTAGGCAGAAGCTTTTTCTGATTGGAGAAGGGAATGGAGTTTATTGCTTTGCTTCTTTCTTTCTTTGGCTCTGCACTTACACGTTACAAGCAAGGCTATTTATAGGCCTTAGATACAGAAATATCTAGAGCACAATAAATTAGGCAGTTGGAACCGCCATTGAGTTTGTGGTGCTGGTTGCTTTATTTGTTTGATCAAACAACCAGACCATTCTACACAAATCCACACACCGTACCTACTCCTCCTCTCTAGCACTTTCTTATATTCCTTTTATTTTAATTATTAAACTTTATTTTTCAACACTCCCCCTTAAAGTTTAATTTGTCGTAACTCCGAGTAGCGTCCTCAGTTTGACGAACACATCTTGTTTCAGGGGCTTCGTGAAAATATCAGCAATCTGGTCTTCAGTTTTCACATACTTCAGTGTCACTTCTTTTTGCTCCACACATTCTCTTAAGAAATGATACTTCATATCAATGTGCTTACTGCGATCATGAAACACTGGATTCTTTGCTAGTGCCAGGGCAGACTTGTTATCCACAAATATTTCAGTTGACTCTTCTTGTTCCTTATTCAACTCCTTCAGCAACTTTCTCAGCAATATCGTATGACACGCACACGATGTCGCAGCAACATACTCAGCTTCACAAGTAGATAATGTAACGATAGCTTGCTTCTTTGAACTCCATGTGAAAGCTGTATCTCCCATAAAGAACACAAATCCTGTAGTGCTCTTGCGATCATCCATGTCTCCTGCCCAATCAATATCGCAATATCCAACCAATTTGAAATTTTTTGACTTAGTATAAAGAAGACCATAGTCAATTGTATTTTTTATGTATCGCAATATCCTCTTGGCAGAATTCAAGTGTGACATTGTCGGTGCCTCCATGTATCTGCTGACTAATCCAACTGCGTAGAGAATATTTGGTCTGGTACAAGTCAGATATCTCAGGCTTCCCACGAGACTTCTAAACTCCGTTGAGTTTATCTTATCTCCTTTGTCATCCTTGAATAAATTCAGTCCGCACTCGGCTGGTGTACTCACAGGATTGCATTCTCCATCTTAAACTTCTTCAAGACATCCTTGGCAAAACCACTCTGTGAGATAAAAATTCCTTCTTCCTTTTTGAATTACTTCAATTCCAAGATAGTATGACATCAACCCGATGTCAGTCATCTCAAATTCTCGAACCATTGTCTTCTGGAACTCTTCAAACATTTGAGGATCGTTGCCTGTGAAGACGAGATCATATACATATAGAAAACCATCAAGATTGCTCCCCCCTTGCACCTTGCAGTATAATGCATGCTCATGTGGGCATTTGCTGAACCCATTCTGCTGAAAATACTTGTCAATCCTGCTATTCCAAGCTCTCGGTGCTTGTTTCAGACCATACAATGCTTTCTTCAGCTTTAGCACCTTATCTTCTTGACCTTCAACAACATATCCAGGAGGTTGCTCCACATAGATATCTTCCTCGAGATATCCATTCAGAAAAGCTGACTTCACATCCATCTGATGCATCTTCCATCCATTTTGAGTTGCGAGAGATATCACCATCCTGATACTCTCCATTCTCGCCCCGGTAGCAAAAACTTCATTATAGTCAATGCCTGGTCTCTGACTATATCCTTTAGCAACCAATCTTGCTTTGTGCCTGACAACTTCTCCTTTTGCATTCTTCTTTGCTTTAAATACCCACTTCACACCGATGGGCTTCTGGTTCTCAGTAAGTGATACAAGCTCCCAAGTCTTGTTCTTCTTAATTGCTCCAATTTCTTCATCCATGGCTCTTCTCCATTTTTCATCTTTCATGGCTTCTTCAATATCCATGGGTTCACTATCAATAAAATGACAGTAGAGTGTCAATTCATCGCCTTCAATGGCTGTGGTTTCCTCATATAGATCTTCAAGACGTCTCTACTTCTGTGGCCTCTCTTTTGGACTTTCACTTGATTCTCCTCCTGGGCTGGCAGGCTCTCTGTGACTGGGTGGACTCGTCACAGGTGTAGTTGCATATGGTTCATCATCACGTTACTCCATAGCGAATGGATAAAAAGTGTAATTCTTCTTTGCTTCACCGGTCCAGTCCCATGTTGCTTTTTCATCAACCACCACGTTTCTGCTGATGATCAGCTTCTCTTCCACGGGATCAAACATTTTGTAACCTTTTGAGTGTTCTGGGTATCCCATGAATATGTACTTGCTTTTGTCATCAAACTTCTTCCTTTCTTGATCCGGTACGTGGACATATCCAACACTTCCAAAGACTCGGAGGTGAGAGATTGTGGGTTTCCTTTCGCTCCAAGCTTCTTGGGGTGTTTGATTCCAAACACTCTTTGTTGGTGACCTGTTAAGCAAGTAGACTGCACAATCAACAACTTCAGCCCATAGCTCCTTTGGCAGGTTCTTGCTCTTCATCATGCTTCTTGCCATGTTGAGTACAGTTCGATTCTTCCTTTCAACAACTCCATTTTGTTGTGGTGATCTTGGAACTGAGAGAAACCTACGAATTCCTTGATATTTACAAAACCTTTTGAACTCGTTCAGCATAAATTCTCCAGCTCTATCTGATCTCATTGCTTTGATGTAGCGGCCACTTTCATTCTCCATGAGCATCTTGAACTTCTTGAAAGCTTCAAATGTGTCTGACTTCTACTTCAAGAAGTATACCCATGTCTTTCTACTGTAGTCTTCAATGAACAATATAAAATATTTGTTCTTTCCGAATGATGTTGGGGTGATCGGTCCATAAAGATCAACATGGACAAGCTCAAGCGGTGCCTTTGCTCGTGACAGGGACTCCTTCGGGAAACTTGCCCTGAATTGCTTTCCAACTAAGCATCCTTCACACAACTGGTCTGGATGATTGATCACTGGTAGACCATGCACCATCTTCTTCTGACCGAGTAACTTTAGGCCTCCAAAATTTAGATGACCATACCTTAGATGCCATAGCCATGTTGTGTCTTTCACACATGCTTTCAAACACTTCACCATTTCAGTCTGAATGTTCAGCGTGAACATTCTGTTTCTCGACATTGGGGCTCTGGCCAACAATTGTTTCTTCTCATTTAACAGCTCCAGTTGACGATTCACCATGTGGACTTCATAATCTTTCTCCATTAGCTGACCCAAACTCAGGATATTACTAGTCATGTCTGGGACATAGTACACATCACTGATAAATTGTTTTGAGTCATTCTTCAAGCGGAAGAGTATAGTTCCTCTGCCTTTGATAGAAACTTTCGAGGAGTCTCCAAATACGACATTTCCTTTCACCGATTCATCCATTCCACAAACATATTTCTTTTACCGCACATGTGGTTGCTTGTTGCATTATCCAGATACCACATGTTATCTTTCGGTTTTTCATCTCCTTGATATGACAACATCAATGTTGTAACACCCTACCCTATACGTTTTGCCTAATCATATTGTTCATACAATTGCAGCGGAAATAATCTCGAGTGTTACATTAATTATCAAAATTTACCCAAATAAAATTTCGACATGAATTACTCGCGTAATGGGCTAACAGTTCTTGTAACTAAAACCTGCAAAATAATTTATCTGAATCCATGCATTCAATGACAAACATATATACTAACAACCATATGCATTGGCTTTTCATAGCCATAGTCACAGTTTCATACTACACAACTGCATACTATACTAATACATGCTATAATTATCACTACTTACCTAATTACACAATATACACATATCATCAACTTTCCACACCTGTGGATATCTCACACTACATCAGAAGCTAGTATGCACATGAAAAATGTTCTCAAAACAATTTTACAAAAAGGTGTGGATCACTGGCCAAAATCCCAAGTAGTCGTCCAAGCACAGAATAGTTGAAGACCATACCTCATCCTGGCTTCAACTCTAGCTCCTCTCCCACATAACACTTATCTACTGCTGCTGCTGATGATCTGCTTACACATAGCATAAGCAGAGAAGAAGAATAAAAGAGGGTCAGCTCATGGCTGAGTGAGATAATCATAGCATCGTGAGTTCATAACAGAGCATACCCCTACCATACATCTAGTAAACAAGCCAAAACACTAGGATCGAAACTCAGCCCTCCGACATCCCAATAGGCAAAAGACTCAACCACCTTGACTTATGCATATGCATCTTATTATGTTTTACTTATAGGCGCCTGGCTACTCCCATACTAATAACTCTCCCGGGAAACATACCCCACATCCCGTCGGATGTAGTCATACATACCCCAACATCCCGTCGGATGTGGTCATACATACCCCACACCACTATGGGTGTAGTCATACCCCGACACCACTCTGGGTGTGGTCATATCTCGCAAGAAATCTTTAGTCACCACCACATGAGAGGTGTGACTATCATACTTATCATAATAGAGTAATAGCATAGGGAGCCCTAATTACTATGTAGTTGACCGTGAGACCACAACACACATATTTGGTATCCTTATACATGATTCATATCTCATCTTGCTTAATCATAATTCATTACTTGCACATGTACTTGACCTGGCCATAATTGGCTCAACATAAGTAAATCAGGAGTCGTATAATTGCACTTCATCGGGATAAACCCTCGTGCAAGTCATCCTCCTTAAAGATCATAATATCACAAGGGAATATAT